TTTGGTATTCATGAATTTCCTAAGGTGCACTTGGTCAGGAAAGTATCTCATTTTTCCATCAATTTTGAAAGATAGTTTTTCAGGGTACATCAATCTGGATCAGAGGTTGTTTTCTTTTAGTGCTTGAAATACTTCACTCCAGGTTCTTATTGACTGGAGGGTTTGTGTGGAGAAGTGTGCTGTGATTCTGATGGGCTTTCCTTTGTATGTGATTTGTTTCTTTTCTCTAGCTGCTTTTTGGATTTTTTTCTTGTGTTGGGTTTCTGGAATCTTAACTATTATATCTAGGTGTAGATTTGTTTACATCACAGCTAGTTGGAGTTCTATATGTCACACTTTTGTGTGTGTCAAAGTCTATTCCCTGCTTGTGATTTTCTGCCATTACTTCTATGAACAGTGGTTTTATGTAATTTGTACTATCTCCTGTTTCTTCATTGACTCTGATCAGTCTTATGTTATCCTTCTTTGCATCACCTAGGAGGTGCTGGATTGATATCTCATGGTCCCTTGCTATTTTTAAGAAATCTTTCTTTTCCTGGTCACTAATCACAATCCTATGTATATCTGATATTTTCTTCTCACTTTGGCTCATTCTGGTGCATAAACTTTCAATGGAGTTTTTAATCTCCTGGATATCTGTTTGCATCTGTTTTATAGTTTCCATTTTTTTCCTATACTGAGATTCCATTGTGTTCCTCAGCTCTTCATTTTTCATCTGTATCTGCTCTACAGTTATTAATCATATCTTTTACTATGGACCCAATTTCTGTTGTTCTCTTAGAAATTATTTCTGATTTTATTTTTTCCTGATCATCTTATATTGCCAGTTCTGGGAGACCGGCTGGTTGAGTTTCAGACTGTACTATCATGTTTCCTCTTGGGGTTGCCTTCGGTAATGTGGAAGTCTGGTTTTGAGACTTGTTTACATGTCTTCTCATTTCAAACAATGCAGTCTGCTGTGCCTTAATTAAGGTGACTCTTTGCTCACCTAGTGGGCTTCAATTCTCAGCAAGCCTCAGAGAGGCCTTCTTTCTACTGTTCAGTACTGTGCAAATTCCTGGGTTTAAAATGACGGTCTTCTGGATCCCTCTGCTGGGCTCTTGTATGGGCTAGATTCTAGCTGGGTCCTGCAAGCACTTACCAATAGTAACTGGGCAGGCTTTTGGGTGGGACCTTAGAGACTGCACAGCTGTTTTTCAGGCAGACCTTTTGTTTGGCCTTTGCCTCAAGTTGCTAATGTCCTGGGAGGCTTCTGGCTAGGTTCTGTGCTGCTGAGCTGCTGGTGTCTGGGTGGGTCTCTGTGTGGGACCTCTAATATTATTAACTTTAAGTAGCCCCATGAGGAGATAGCTATTTGTTGGTTTTAGGACCCAGGAGAAAATAATCACTTCAGCCACCTATAGCAGCCACCACTGCAGCCTCTGCCAGTTCACTGCCCCTGTTCAAATGAAACTGCACTTTTTAAAAATGACCACAAAGTTTTCTTGCTGTTCTCTGCCTTTCAACATTCTGCCTTTTTCAATTGACCAGCCCCCAAAATCCAAAGTTGAATATGTTAATAGATGAAATTCTAAAGTTGAGGGCAAGAACAAGAAGGGAACCAGCATCTCTTGGGAGAAAGAGGGACTGAAAACAAACTTCAGAAGGGCACCCACTCAGTGTGAGTCTACAGACTCCATCAGGATCCATAAACAACCTTAGCACTACCTATGTGACCACCCAAATTCACATGGTCCAGGGCATGATGCAAATTACATCTTCCAAAAAGAAATAGTAACATCAAGCAGACCTGGCCCATACCTCTCAGTCTCATGAAAAAAAATTAAGACACATTCCTGGGGAGCCCTGTCCATCCCAGTGTGTCTCAAGCCATTTCCCTGGCCAGATCCAGAGGGCAAGGGTAGGTGTAAGCTATCATCTTAATTCTGCTTGGCTTAGTTCCATACCTGTAGAGGCATAGAAAACCACAGCTACTGAAATGGAATTCCCATACTTCAAAAACCAACAGCAAAAGCAGGTTCATACAAATAGAACTCCAACCAATGGGGAGATACCCTCCTGCCCCCTACACAGGGATACTCCATGGTGGATTCAACAGATACATTCCAGACTCTTATGTACAATGAGCAAAGAATTGCAAATGCACATCCATTGGTAAAAGAAAAAAACAGGTACATTTATTGAAGATAACAGGAAAATGTGCCAGGAAGGTCCATGCTAACAGGAACCAAAATGTGGCATTAAAAGAAAAAATGAGGGCTGGGGATTTAACTCAGTGGTTCCATCACCTGCCTCACAAGCACAAGGACCCAAGTTCAATCCCCGGTACCAAAAAAAAGAAAAAAAAAGAAAAGAAAAAATGATATTGGGGTGGCAGAGAAATAAGAAACAGATAAATCAGGATTTCAGAATTTTTCATATTTAAAATATGCTTACTATTTTTTATTTTATGAAAGAAAACAAAATTTTATAACAAAGTAATAAGAGAATAATAATAGCTAATACACTGGGTATCATTATCTTCAAATACTCCGACTACAAGACAAATCAAAAACATTCTTACAAAGAACAAACAGATAATAAAAAACTTTTCAATGAATTAAGATAAACTAAATGAAACAAATTAGCAAACATAGGAAAATACTTTTGAAACAATGGAATAAGTAATTTGGGGAAGTATTTCAACTTCTCCCACTTAGAGATTGTTATATATATAGTTTTTTTGTTTCTTGTATAAAAGAAAGCATGTGATATTTAAGCTCATGCAACTTATTTCTCCTAACATTATGTGCACTCCAGTTCAGGTACCTCTCACTGGTTTCTTTGAATAAAATTGACAGGAATGATTGAAAGGATGCTGAATCATCTTAGAGACTTTCAACACACAGGGCTGTCACATGGCTTACTCTGATTCAATTACACACATGAAATGAAATCCATATTTACAAACCTCTAACAAGGTTTGAATGGGGAAAAGATTACTGAAGGTCAAGCCATGAGATCTAGCAAGGATGTGCTTTGCTGTAGAGCTATAGAAATTTCCAGGGTCTTTGTTTTTTACTTTCTGCTTCTCTCAAAACAGTGGAAGGAGTGGCCCTAGAATCTTTCCCAAATTCGAGTGGAGAGAGGAGGAGTGGTCTCCCTGTGCCAATTGTGTTTTCTGTACTAATATCACCTATATGAATGTAACATAGGGAAGCCTGCTGCTATTGTATCAGTCTTCCTGTCATGGGCTGGGTCTGAAGATCTCTGAGGCTGAAATAAGGAACTTAAGGTATTTTTTAAAAATAAGTATGTACGTTTGTTGACTCTTGTCATGGAAAAATAATTTTTAGGATGCTTCAGTAAAAGAGGCATGAGAGGGGATGGGGATTTAGCTCAGTGGTTCCACTTCCTGCCTCACAAGTGCAAGGTCCTGAGTTTGATGCCCAGTACCAAAAAAAAAAAAAAAAGAAATAAAGAGGCATGAGATTTATTATAGATAGATATAGACACACTCAAGAGTGTAGTGTGAATGTTCACAAAAATGAGGCACATTATACTCCAGGGTAGAGCATATTTAAAAGCTGTTTTTAATATGGGTTATCTCAGATATGCATTTGTATTGTCTGTCAGGATATAATGTAGGCCATCTATATAGATTTGAAGTAGAAATATGCATTAAGACATTCTGTCTAATGCAGCTAATTTTGGGGATGGAGGAAAAGACAATTTGCAGGTGAAAAGGGTCTAGTGCCTCAGAATTTACAGTTTATGGTAAAGGGTCTTTAGAAATTTAGCACTATTTAACAGTATTCTCTGTAAGATCGGAAGGGGGTGGTCACAGATAGGGAGGCCTTCAGAAGCGGGAAAAGAGCTTATCTTGAAGCTGTAGTTATTTTTTAAGGCATAAGTTTAATTTTATAAATATTTTTGGTCTCTTTTTTACCTACTCTTATTTTTTAATCTTATCTCATTTTCCCCACCTGAGACTTTTGTCCTTTGTATTTAAGTGGTTTCAGAAGACTTATGTTTTGTCTATGGTAACTGTTTTTGGCAGAGGAGGGGCATTTATCCCGCCTAGCTAGGGACTGAAAGTCTTGTCTTGACTGATCTAAAGGAGGCATGGGAATATTGGGTTTTATCGTTTGAAGAGCCATCATCTTTTGATAATCTGAAAAAGAAGGGAAGGGCATATGAGACACTAGCCCACAACAACAATAAATCACATAACAAACAAAATTTTTTCTTAAAGTCCAATAGGATAGCCAAAAAAATTAAAAACTTTTTAATTGGGTTGTTTTTAAAAAACAATTATTAAAGCTTATAATAGAATCTAATATTACATTAATTTATAAACACAAATCAAGGTACATAAAATTGTCAAAATTATACACAATAGTTTGTTTTAATAACACATTTTAGGGCCTGGGATTTAGTTGCGTGATTCTGCGCCTGTCTCGCAAGTGCAAGGGCCCGAGTTTGATCCCTGGTAGCAAAAAAACAAAAACAAAAACAAAAAAGTAATAACACATTTTATCTTATATTGTTATTGAAATATTTAGGGCCATTTTTTTATAAAATAGCCTTTTTAGAGTTAGAGGGAGAACATTCCAGAGGTCGCTAGGCTCAGAGCTGCTGGTGTGGACGCGGACATCGCTGGGACAGTCCCTCCCACTGCTCAACGGTGGCAACTGCCCGGCTGCCCCTCCAGTCACCACCCACCCCACAGCCCCGGACCAGGTTTCCAGTGCCTCTTTCTCCCAGTCCAGGGTGAGCTGTGTTAGGTTTATGTCTTTACTTGATGAAAAGGAGCTGTTGCACAGCCACTGGTACCTGTACTGGAGAAACATAGCATACTAGCAAGAAACTTACAGCCTCAGTGGCGAAATTTTTTTCATGTCAGAGACCAAGAACTCTTGCAATCATTTATGTCATCTCTTCCTCTCCAGAGAGAAGATACAAAAAAGTTGTAACCAAAGATCTCTTCATCTTATTGATAAAGTCACTAATAAGCCAAAATGTCTGTCAATATCAACCGCAGTGTTTCAGACCAGTTCTATCACTACAAGATGCCCTGTCTGATTGCCAAGGTTGCGAGCAAAGGAAAGGGAATAAAGACAGTTATAGTCAACATGGTTGACATCGCAAAGGCACTTAAGGGGCCTCCAAAGTATCCCACCAAATATTTTGGTTATGAGCTGGGAACACAGACCCATTTTCATGTAAAGAATGACCATTACATTGTCAATGAATCTAATGAAGTGAATAAGCTGCAAGACATGTTGGATGGATTCATTAAAAATTTTGTTCTCTGTCCTGAGTGTGAGAATCATGAAACAGATCTGCATGTGAATCTGAAGAAGCAAACAATAGCTAATTCTTATAAAGCCTGTGGCTATCGAGGCATGCTTGACACACATCATAAACCCTGCAAGTTCATTCTCAAAAATCCACCTGAGAATAGTGACAGTGGTACAGGAAAGAAAGAAAAGGAAAAGGAAAATAGAAAGTGCAAAGACAGGGAAATCAAATCTTTTCTTGGTAAACTGGTCAAATGGGGGTTCAACTATTATTTTTTAGTAACCCATTTACTTAGGTATTCAATAATCAGACAGGCAGCTTTGTAAGTTTTCAGTTCCCCAAATCTAATCCTAAATGTCTTTTGAACCTAAAACTTTCTTTCAAGTTTCCAAGTATGCTTCTGAAAAAAATCTTTCACCTTCTTTCTCCTTGTCACAAGAGATGCTTGAAGATGACTGTAGTAATTTGATGTTATTATTTATGAATTACATGGGAATGACATAGGTTGGGTTTGAGGGTCTTTGAGGCTGAAAGGAATTCATTTTATTTAAAGAAGTATGTAGGTTTGTTGATTTTTGTTGTGAAAAAAATTTTTAGGGTGCATTAGTAAAAGAGGCATGAGAAAGATTTTCTAGAAGTAGATATAGGACATATTTAAGAATGGACTGTGGGGGTTTAAATAAAGGTATATTAAAATTTTTATTAATTATGCATTAGATTTAAATGACATCATGAAGGGTATTTTGTTATTAAATCTAAAAATAAAAATTATAAAAAGGCTATTTTTAATGTCCAAAATAAAATCTTTATTTTTTAACTGTATGAATATGATCAAATATGTCCACCACTAGGTTTTCCAAAAGAAACATGCTATAAATAAGCAAACTACATCTGCTCACTGATGTGTATGGACTCCCTAGATGTCTCACTGAGCTTAATTGCAGACAGAACAAATGCTCTTTCTTAAGAAGACTGTTTTCTTAAATAAAGGCATAATAAAATCAACTTAAATCAGTTATTCTTTCAAAATTGAATCTTTTGCAAAAAATGAAACCCATTAACCTGTATAATCATGCAAATAGCAGAATATTTGTCTACTGGACAGACTACATAGGAAGTAAGGATAAAAAATAGGTCAAAGATAAAAGAAAGTATACATTTCTTTTTTGTTTTGGTTTTTTGAAATGGTCCCTCTATGCAGGCCAGGCTAGTCTTGAATTCATCATGTAGCACAAGCTGATCTTGCACCTCTAGCCTCAACCTCCCAAGTACTCAAATTATAGGAATGTGCCACCTAGCCCTACAAAAAATTAACATTTTAATAGAAAAGTCCAATTATAGTTTTGCATTAAAAGGTCTTTCTAAAAATCTTATAAATAGATATATTGAACCTTAGAAATTCTTGAACAAAATACCTTTTTTTTTGGTACTGGGGATTGAACTTGGGAACTTGAGCTTGAGAGGCAGGTGATGGAACCACTGAGCTAAATCCCTGACCCCAAAATAGCATTTCCATGACCCTTCTAAAACTTCCTATGATCCATACACATCCCTTATAGTAAACTTTTCAAGGTAGCAAAGCAAACACATTCAGAAGACAAGGAAGGACAATCACAAATTCAAGTCCAACCAGGGCAGTTTAGCAACTTGGGAGACACTGTCTCAAACTAAAAAAAGAATTGAGAATGTAGCTCAGTATGAAGGCCCTGCATTCCATCCCAAGCACCACAAAATTTAAAAATATTTTAAATAAAGAAGTAAAATTTTAAAAATTAAAAAAAAAATGTGGAGATGTAGCACAATGTAAAGACCCTGAGTTCAATTCCCAATACATGAGAGCTGGGGCAAACCTAAAAACTAACAAGGAAGATTCTGTCAAAGGTCATAAAAACTCATGGTTAACAGATTGAAAGAGATATTTCCTAAAAAGAGAAGAATGCACAAAATACAGGACACAAAATGATGTCAGGCTTATGGCAGGAAACTGCAGAACATTCAGAAAAAAAATGGAGTACTCCTCTGCCATAAAGAAGCATAAACTTTTGTCATTTGTAGAAAAATGGATACACCTTGAGACCATAATGTTAAGTGAAACAAATCAGATGTACAAGCTTAAATATTGCATGGTTTCTCTTATATGAGAAACCCAAAGTATATGAGACAAAATAAAAGATAGATAACATGAAATAAGGACATAGATCTTTCATATATATGAAGGGGACCAAGAAATTCAGAAAGCAGAGAGCAAGAGAGAGGGAAGGGTCCAAAAGGGAATTAAGATGTGTTCTCTACAGGTACCAAGTCCACACAATGAATATAACAATTATGTACTGCAAATTTATACTAATAATAGAAAAAAATTTCCAGTACAAAGGGTCAAACTCAGGACCTTGTGCTTGTAAGGCAGACATGCTGCCACTGAGCTAAACCCCTGGCCCAACAAAGTAATTTTTAAAGAAAGAAAATACTGTTTTCAAACCTTCACTTGAATCTGGCAGTGTTTTGAGGACCAATTCCCTATGACGAATGTGATCATTATGCATATCTAAATTCTACCAATAAAATTAATAATAAAAAGATGCTCTTTTCAGTCCCTCATTTGAATGTAGACACAACTAATCAAAAGATTAGTTCCTGATCCTTCATTTATATCTGGTGGAAAACCAAGCAAGACAGCTTATGCCTGGTGTTGTACCAAGTGCAATTTTTAATAGGACAAATGTCTCAATGCCTTATTTGCATGAGGGGGAAGCTAACCAGGAATTCGGGGTACAAAAGAATACTTTCTGTTTATTGTCAGGACCACTGTGAACCTCTATAGCAGACTACATTTCTTTACCACCTTCAATAAATGTATATGCCCTAGCTGCTTTTTCCTGCCAATTTTGCCAAATTCCTCATCTGGGACACCAAAAACCTAGAAAGAAATCCCACAAGACCTCCTATCTGGTAACACTCTGGGATCTGAGGCAGGAAGATTACTCAAATTTGAGTCCAGCCTGGGTAGCTTACTGACTTGGCAAGATTCTTTCTCAAAATATAAAATAAAATAGGATGTCGCTCAGTACAAAAGCCCCAGGTTCAATCTCCAACATTGCAAAGGGAGTGAGTGTGTGCTGAGGTATGCACCTCACTCTTAATGTTCCTCTCAAGCATGCAAAATGGTTGAAATACCCAGTGCTGAAAGAAAAAAAGAGAAAAGAAAAATGTATACTTATATTTAACACTGATTTTTTTAAAGGTATAGCTATTCAGTAAACCAAAAGCACTAAACTATTCTCATTGGCCAAATTTACATACATTATATCAACTTTGTGTGTGTGTGTGTGTGTGTGTGTGAGTGTGTGCAAGTGCACATGTGTGAGTGTTCGGCTAGAACTTGAGATTGGCTGCCTCAGCCTGCCAGAGTGCTGGCATTATCAGAGCATTTCATAATGCCTGGCACAGTTTTGTTAATATTTGGGTTAATTTCTGTACACATTTTTAGCATGCAGCAGGACATAATATGCCTTAATTTCTTTAATTTATAGGAATTTTAGTAACATTTGATTTATGCAAGTACTTATTTATCTCTAAGTCAGTAAAAATAAAAGTTCTTTAAAATGAGTTTGTTTTGCTTTTGCTTCATTTTGGTAGTTTTGAGACAGGGCTCACTATATGTATAAAATTCATGCTGTCCTTGAACTTGCAGTAATCCTCCTGCCTCGGCCTCCAGAGTAATGGGATTATAGGTGTGTATCACCATACCTATCTTTCCTTTAAGAGACTTTAATTGGTGATGTCTAGAATTTGGAAAATATTGCACACTCATACAATGAAAGGTAAAGGTCTTTCTAATAAGCATACAGGCAGAGATAGAGAAAGATTACATCTTTGATCCTAAAATTCCATGCTTGGCTGGGCATTGTGGCATAAACCAGTAATTTCAACACTTGAGAGGCTCTGGCAGAAGGATTGCCACAAGTTTGAGGTCAGACTGGAATACATAGTGAGTTCAAGGCCAACATGAACTACAGAGAGAGACTCTGTATCAGAAGGAAAGGAAAGAAAAGGAAAGAAAAAAAGAAAGAAAGAAAGTCCTTCCAGTGTTAATATTGCAGAGTTTAGTTAGAAATTAATATAAGGCAGTTAGACAAAGCTGGGCCCTCGGCATAGAAAAACAACTGAGGCACATTCACTGGTTAACATTATAAAAAGAGAAAAATGACTACACCCATGTACTTCCCCTAGGGATGAATAGCAATGATTAATATTCTAAACAGGCATCACCTGAATGGAGGACCAAGACTTTGCCAGGAAAGATCCCTTACCAAAAATCTGGAAATCTTTATTCCTTGTACAGTTGCTATGACTTGCTTCCCCATTGGATCCCCATTTAATCAATATCTAAGTGACTATACTTGTTATAATATTATAGGTTGATCATAGTTTTGTCCCACCTCATGTTCACCTTGTGATTTTCCATTAGGTCAATACAACCTAAGTGTCTGTACTTATAATTTTGCTAGTTCACTCTAGTTTTGTTTTTTATTCTTTTGTTTTGGTGCGTGGGATAGAATTCTGTAGCTTGCGCTTGCGAGGCAGGCAGCCACACCACTAAGCTAAATCCCCAGCCCTAGTTCACTGTAGTTTTGCCTCACCTTGAACTCAGCTCACCTCTTGGCTTTACTTCATAAAAACCCCTGGGAAACAAGGTTCCGCAGGGCAACCCACATTTCAGTTCTCCTTCTGTTTCTTTTAGACAGAAGCCATTGTAACAAATTTTTCCTAATATTAAACTCCATTGTTCCTTGAATTCATTCTTTGATTTTTAGAAAACATGAACTCAAACTCATTTTTTTGGATATCTAACAGGTTTGGGAGTTGCATGTATTTCCCCTATATCATTATCAACTGACACAAGATGATAAGAAGTGAGCTCACCTCTGGGTTTCCATATGACCAGTCAGGACAGGAAAACATAGGGCCTTTGAGAGACCTTGTTAACTGGATGATTTGCACCTGAGTTAAGCTCCAATCTCTCTTAAGTCATGATACCCACAGTGAAAACAAACTCTAATGGAAAAAGGTATAGCAATGACTTTATTTAGGCTACTGGAATATGAAAAATGGTTAAGAAGGAAAAACCCTGGTTTGGCTCTTATCTGCATTATTGAGAAAGGGTGGAGGTGAATCTTTATCACAAGGAGACATAGAGCCCACTCTCAAGGCCAAAAGACTCTTGACCACTCAGGCACATGGAGGAGCCAAACAGAGTCAGTGCATCTGCTGAACAAAGATCCCAAGAGTTGAGCAATCTCCCAAATATGACAGTTTATTAAGCATT